TGTTTTTGTTTTGTTTGTTTGTTTGCACCCCTCTCTCACCTCTAAAATCTTGGGTATGATCCTGGAATCATCATTTAATGCTTAGCATTTGTAGTCTGTCCATTGACTCAAGGGTTTTTCTGATTCTTATCACACCAAATTTCAATTTGATCTGTTAGACTGCCTTACCCTGGCATTAATCAGCTTGGAGATTTAATTTTTTTCAGGGTATCACATTTTCTCATGTTTTGCCCATCAAATTTACAATGGTCTAAATTAGCAATTGTTTGATTACTGAACTGAGAAATCCAGATATCTGGAGGTTACACTGGGTCTGGTTGTACGAAGGGTGGATAGTACTATCAGACAGATAAATCCTCATCCAGTGGATAATTCAATTCTGTTATCCAATAAATTTATCCACTGGATAAGATTTATCTGTCGGATGGTGCTTTCTACCCTTCGTACAACCGGGCCCTGGTGGACAAAACAAGAACAAGCACTAAAAAATTGTTCAACTTGCCTCTTCCTTGTTGCTGCATTGGTTGCCTCTGTGGTGGAGCATTCTGACGTCCACCAAATGAACCTTCAAGAGACACCATACTAGATCATTATCATATTTTTTAGATACATCTCTTATATTTAACATAAGATCAGGGCATAAAAATGAATGGTCAGCAGATAATGTCTGGTCAAGATTGGCACTGGTATGGCCAAACACCTCTTGGACTGGTCCTCGTGACTGGTCATACTGAATGGCAGGGCTTGAAATAGCAGTCTGCCATTGCCAAATTTCAAGTCTTGCAGGTGAAAATAACCATATGCTGCCAAATAAAAAAAATAAAATGGCATGCAAAATTTACTGGAATGACCTCCTTTTAGCATGCTCATTTACTATGGCATGCTACAATTCTTTTCTATTTCAAGCCCTGGAATGGTCACATTGTGTGGCCAGTCACCAGGTACAGTCATTGAGCAGTCATTTTCTATTTAGATGCATCTTCATGATATTGATTTAGAATTGTATATAAATTATTTTACCATTTTCAGATTTTTGGTGTCCATTTTCCTGTGCCTGCTGCTGTCCGCTATTTAAATCTGCAGAACTCTTGGGGTTACCAATTTTTCCAGGAACATCACATGCTTTTTTCACAATGGTACAATCCAAAATAATCAAGACTTTCCTGGAAAAAAAGATAAACTATATATTGCTGATCATTGCACACCTTGCACTTGATTTATGTACATTATACCTCATTCTCCCCCAAGATTGGGATCTGTTACAGGGCTCAAAATAGCAGCCTACCAATGGCCAAATGACAGGCGAAATGACAATGCACTTCCAAATGAATAATACAATGGCATGMAAAATTTACTGGAATGACCTCYTTTTACCATGCTCCTTTTCTATGACAGGCTAATATAAATTCCTATTTGGAGCCCTGCTGTTATAGTTACTTATGAATGGCTGATTCTTATTCTGACTCCGAGGGTTTTTCAGACTCTCCAGTTTTCCCTCCCAATTAATGCTGTGCTCCATGGTCATACTGTTAATGGGTCAGTAAGAGGCACCTTCTCGTTACTTTTAGTTTAATCATGTTGTGCTGCACCACCGCTGTACTTGTGGTGGTGATAAGCAATAACACGTTAGTTAAATATTAACTCACCTTGTCTCTTGGATGATGTTACAGATATATTTGTCCAGCCTTATCACTGCTTTCATTTCTATTTCTCCTTCTGTTACTTTGTCATTGAGCTGTGTGGCCAACATGGCAGCTATAATATTACACAGATTAAAGATTTTACAATCAGACAGCTATTGGCCATTCCAAGATTGAGGAAAAACCTGGGTGGAGTTGGTATTGTGGTGCATTGTGGGACTGTTTTAGGGGACCAAATAGATACCATGTTGGAAATAAGTCCCCAAACAGTCAAAAAATGTACTGCAATATAAACACTCAACTCATTTTTTCCTTTCACTAATGAATGGCTGATGAGTAGTACTGGGTGGAGTTGGTATTGTGGTGCATTGTGGGTTGCTTTAGGGGACAAAATAGACTTTATCTTGGAAATATGTTACCTAAAACAGTACAATGCACTGACGACTCAACCCGTTTCCCCCCTTAATCTCTAATGTGTAGTATTGTGAGATAGCACCTCTTTAGGTACTTACAGGTATGGATAAGTGCACCATCTGATAGGATCAATCTGCAACAGAGGGAATAATAATATAAAAAAAACACTTATTACCATTCACATCCCTGATAGTACTATTCCTAATTGTTTTAAATAGCTTAAATCACAAATAGTCCTTGTTCTGAAAGGGTAGCACTTGTGGTCCTTGTTTCATGATCAAATTGAAAAGTAGAAGTGTTTGTTTTTACAGAGTTAGGATAAAACTTCTCCCCATAAAACTTGGGTTGGTTCTTGGGTTGCAGTTACATGACTCAAAATCCCTCTAGATATGCTGGTTCAATTAAAGCTAATAAGGAATGCATCATTAATTACCAACATGGTGGCTATGGCATAACATGCACCCCAAGAATATTTTGAGAGGTCAACTAAATGTTTCTTTAAGTAGCTTTGAACGAGTTATTTTAGAAATATTTTGTTCTTACCTGTATCTATCTGTTCCCTTTCCTGCTTGATTGGCTTGGATTTTCCTCACTCCCTGTAAGAAAAATCAATAAAATATAATTAAAAAATAAAAGCTCTTCCATGAGGTTCCCTCCACAAACACTACCACTAAATTCTATATTCACAATATACAACACTCAACTCGCATGGTGTATCTATCTCGCAATGCTCTACAAGTTGGAACATTTATGTACCTGTTTCATAATAAATTACTCCCTAAATCATTCCAAAATATGTTTGAAACAAATTCACAAATACATTCATATTCTACTAGAAATGCTGAGAGTTATAGACCCCATTTCTGTAGAACTAATATCAAAAAATTGACCATTGTATTTCAAGGCCCACAATTGTAGAACTCATTACCTATTGAAATAGAGTCTAGTTACTCATCAACTTGCTCAAAGCTAACTTAAAGAAACATTTAGTTGACCTCTCAAACTATAGTTAAAGTAAATTTTCAAACTTGCTATTTCCAAATCTTCTTTCTCCCCCTTTTTACTAGATTCTTGTCAGTGAATTTATTGAATTTATTTATTTATTTATATATTACCTCATAGATTAGTCTAACAGCTTGTTCACACTTAGATCGTTTCAGATCGGACCAATTTTGACTCGATTCAATTTAAACCTTATACGCTCACACTACATTCGGTTCAGATCGATCGCGATCGCTTCCGATCGATTCAATCGTTCACATTTGTTAACATCTTGTTTTGCTGGCCAGTGGCAGTACACGTAATTTTACAGCGTTTCCAGGCATGATAAATTTTAAGCGACTGATACTTACTGCTACTCATGCTGTCCAGGCTTACAACAGGGCGGCTTATTGGCCTTGTTCCCATGACTCGGTCTAGTTTTTCCCAGTGGGGGAAAGTGGTTTTGCTATTTCCACTTCTGTTCTCCTTCCTTTTCTCCTCAAAGTACTTTACTTTAAGCCGTTTAACTTTCGCCCGGCACTCTTTTGCACTTCGTGAAAACGTTGGCCGCAATTCAGCTAGTTTCTTGGCCAACTTCTCAAAATCTTCAATATTCCTTTTTGGGCAGTCCTCGATCATTTTCTGAATTTCGCTTTCRCTCCATAAGTCAAGAAGCAGGTTTGTTTCTTCAAACCCCCAAGTTTCTCCTCTTTTATAAACGGTGTAATGGCTCGTAATGGCTGGTATGTAAACACATAGCTGGATTCGCTGGATTCCTTTCCATTCCAGACCCGAGGCGCGCGCGCGTCCGCTTTGGCGGGAAACTACCTCCCTCGGTCAAAAGTCCTGGAGATAGATCGATTTATTTTGAGTCGATTTAAATCGTCGTTCRCATTGCTAGTTAGATCGGTTTGATAAAGATCGATCTAAAGTAAACTACCTCTCGAGATGGTCTAGTTTGGATCGTTTGTGATCGATCTAAATGCAAGTGTAAACAATAAGAATCGTGAGCGAACGATCTGAATCGATCTAACTGACCCTAGTGTGAACAAGCTGTAATACAACCAAGGAAGTTTAAATGTTATAAGCAAAGTCGTTTCTTTTTAAACTACCTTACCATCGGGATATTAAATCTTATCGCACTAGCATTATTGTAACTATTTTCTTGTTAATAACGAAATATATTAGTCCATTATAAATATTCACTTTGTAAAACCAATTAATCAATTTGTACATGTATCTGTAATATAGTACTATGTATATATTTCTAAAAATTGTATAATTAGAATCTAATATTGGAAATTAATTGTAAATATTTTACAATATTCTGATGGTTTGAAATAAATATTGATTGATTGATGGTGATTTTTAGGTAGGAAGAAAAACTGGAGAACCCGGAGAAAAAACCAATAAAAAACGTGCCTTCCCTTATAACCATTATGAAGAACTGTGCCTCTAGACTTGTCTTGTTTGGTGAATAAGTTTAGTCTTTGAAATCCTAGAGCCATTCAAAGATTCTCGTCTTAGAAAACTATTTATTTTCAGGGATTTGGATCAAGCAGCTTGTGGCTGTCATTAAAACTATGATCAATTAATTACTTGGAATATTTACATCGTCAGCAAGTTTGAGAAGCTTATCACACACACTAAATACAAAATATTAAATAAAAGGATGCACAATCCATTAAAAGAATGCTAAAACGCCCGAACAATATCCCAAACTTACTAGAACCTGGACGACCGGTTTCGGTGGATGTTGTTCTGCAGGTTTGGTGATGATATCCTACAAGAAACAAAACAACGACATCAAAAATAAATGGCGGGAAATTGAAGACACGAGTCATTGAAAAAGGACTTAAAAGTCAACAAATACGCAGCAATATGGCCAACCAAGGCAAGAAATCGTTTACTTACATGGATAGCCCCCTCTGATAAGGATATTGCCATTTTGAAATGATTGTTAAGGCTTGAATTCTCGCAAATTTACGAAGAGCTTCTTCGAACGAAATGCAATCTTTCGCGCCAAATAATAAATCAAGAGAAGATGTATTGCGCATGGGTAAGTTGAGTAGCAGCTGACACCTAATTATTGCGGGCACCTGCATCAGTCTTTTTATGTTTTTATATATTTTATATTTATTACTATCTATAAACTAAATAATAATATCATTTTTAAAAATAGTTCAAATGATGCATGCAGTCTTCTTCATTAGAGGGCCAATGAAATACTTATGCTTGAAATTTTATTCAACAAATCAGGCACAATGTATTTTTTTAAATTTAAAATCTTTTTTTAAGAAGTTATAAAAGTTAACTTCAACTTAATATTAAAATTATTATTACTGTAATATTATCAATATGTACTAACAATGTATAATAATAATTCTGATCAGTCCAGTCTCGTCCAGGTTGAGCCGCGTGACCACAAGGGAGAATAGCACTAGTATAAAATCATTCCAAAATGGCTGCCATACAAAGACTTGCAAAACAAGCGTTTATAACTTTTAGAACCAAAGAATCCCCTACTTTCCCCACCAATTTCGAAATACTGAAAAACCTGGTAAGTGGTACCGTTATCTCTCGATATGATAGCATTCTGGGATTAGATTCGAGTTTTATGGCCTGATTTCCGAGGTGATTTTCGTTACGTGCATCGAGTCACGTACGAAAAAAATAACAGTGATTAGAACAACTTTAATGACAACGTGAAGAATAAAGCGGTGTTTTTATGTGTGTTTTAAATCGATTTTAAAGATTATTTGACCTAGACCTCCCATAGACTCGGCTTGTATCATTCTTTGGGACCCCAGATGACTGATCGTCTTGAAATTAGTTTGGTGAACACATGTTTTCTTCTAAACAACGCGATATTCTGAATCTGATATCGAACTTGTTTGATGCTTTATTTAATTAATGTAACATTCCATAATTTTATAATAACTTAATATAAAATCTACAAAAAATATTATGAACAAAACGTTAAAAGATATCTTTAAAAACATTTTTGTGATTAATTTTATGAATTTCCTTTAAGGCTTATGTATTTGTCGAGTTTCATAATCTCAAAAGCTTTTTAATGCTTTGAATCTATTTAAGAAAAACTCTAGTAATTTTTCTGGGGTTTGTTTATACATGCGTGTAAAGATAATGAGAAGTTAATCGTTTTTCAACAGAACATCTAACCGTAACAATAGAAATTGTTGAAATAATTGTAAATATTGATTATGTTGAGACAATAAGCTGTTTATTCAAGCATCTAACATGAGAATAATCTTAACCTCTTTGAGGTGAAAAGATAATTGCAACGTAATAGCTACTTCCCACAGTTTTTATTGCTGTGAGCTGATTAACAGTTAATTAACAGTTAGATCTAGACCTTTCGCCCTCAGGCCATTCCACCTCAGGTCTAATTTTTAAAAATACATAAACAAGGTACATGGGAAAGGTCGACTAACAATTTATTTGATTGGCGGTAGTCTACTGCCCAATAACCTGTTGCATCTTGTCTCAATCAGTCTATGCATAGCAATGAAAACAGTGATAGTTTTCCTTAACATATCTTGGTCTGTTAAAAATAATTGAATAAAATTATAAAGATTAAAGTTTCACCAAGACAATCCATATAACCACTCTATGTAACATTTATTCTGTATACACCTGTCATTTTCGAGAAGGTCATATCATCGAAGCTAAGACCGAAAAGGATTTTGGGTACTCTRAAATGTGTGTTATATTTGCATATAGACATGTAAAATGCACTGTAGATCAAAGTTGGTCGACCTAGATTAACAACATGCCAAAGCCATGATGCATAAATTGTGCACAGGAAGGGAAAACTGCAATACGCATGAAATTAGCAGAATTGTTTTTCTTCCCATGCTCTTCTTCGGTCTCAGCTTTGATGATATAACCTGTTTTTGAACCTGACAACGTTTTTTTAATTAGGTATATATAATAATAGTAATGTATATACTCTTGATACACAGCTAGATAATCTTACTGCCGAGGACATCAACCTAGAAGTACCCAATGAAGAGTCTGGGAACATAATCAAGCACCCAAGCGGAGCACCAGTGTCTCATATCGGTATCTATGAATGTCCTTATTTCTCTATGGGTGTTTTTATTGTTAAAAAAGGCTGTGAAATCCCTCTTCATGACCATCCAGGAATGTATGGCTTATGGTAAGTGTAATATATTTACCAACCTTCATATTCCATTAAAAAAGTATATAACTTCCTTGTAGTATTTTTCAAACATTTTCTTATACTCATGTATATGGTTGTTTTGTTTTATGTGCAGTAAAGTTCTCTATGGCAAATTACGAATCAGAAGTTATAATCTCTGGAATGTTGGGTAAGTACTAATTAGTCCATTATATTGACGGTCCCCTTGCACTAAAAATCCAGAGAGGAATAGTACTGGGAGACAAAACAATGATTTTTTTCACATAAGAAAAGACGGCCTATTGTTTTGTCTCCCAGAACAATTCCTCTAGAAAATCAATGCAAGGGGTCTATATAGACATACAATATCTGGTTATATATGATGCCGTTATTAATCAATTCATTTGATAATGAGTTGTCAGTAAGGTTTTGTCAACCTAGTGTTGCAGACCAACGCTTGATGGTGGGTGTTGTCACTTGATAGCAATTTCATAAACATTTTCTGCAAAGAATATAATGTATGAGTGTTGGTACAGGATTACAGCATGACRTGTAAAAGTATATGACCAGCAATAATGTATTCACATACTTTTATACACGGCATTTGTACATCAAACCTAGTACACATTTTGATACAAAACTGGCTAGTTCTATCAAATAATCCATGTGAAAGCTGTTTTGACTGCAAAAAGCCTGCGCATAGAAGTGTGCAAATACATAATAAATAATACATAAGTCTATAATAAAAAGATCAGCTGATTTAACTATATTTCAATAGAAATAGAATGTTCTATAGTTTCTGTGCATGCGCATGGTGTTTAACATTGAGCGTGCACAGTTAAGTGTTGCATATTGTTTTCTTTCACTATAACTGACTAACTAGATTTGTAATTTCATTCAAYCCCTTACAATGGGCAAAGTAGCCCGAAAGCTTAGATGTATAGAGGATTTTACATGGGCGCGCAGAGATACGAATTTTATTTTCGAGTGTTCAATTGATATCTAAATTGAACACGAGAACATAAAATTCGTATCTCCAAGCGGCCACGTAATGTTCTGTTTATTATATAGATATCGATGAAACTTATAAATAAAACAAAAGCTCAAAAATTCTTAATTAAAATAYGTTACTATGTCAACAGCGATATCTTCACGTGTGAAAGATATGGTATCTTCCACTGGTAAAAGATATCAAGTTTTCGACACTAGAGAAAACCTGGTATTTCATCAATATCTATATAATAATAAAAATATATCAAATTACACGTAGAAGAAATGTTTTAATTTTTGATATATATTTTAATTTGTTACCTAAAGGTCAAATGATGATGACAAGCAAGTTCATCAACCCTTTAATGGCCATGGATTGATTCAAAGTGAGTGTTGTGCTGCTGCTGACATGTTTTACTTTGGCTTGACTCTCTCTATATCCCTCTCTTTAATATGTGTGTGGGGGGGGGGGAGGGGAAGGGATTTGCACATGAGTAAAGTACATCATTTCTTGACATACATTTAAGTAGTTAGTAAGATTAATCGTTTCTATATTTCTAGGGAAGCCAATCAGATGTCAATCACCTACTGATTACACATTTGATGCCGAGGGAGGAACATGCATCCTTTCTCCAAAGACTGGCAACTATCATTCAGTTCATGCAGTGTAAGGCTTACAGACATCTTCACACTTTGTATTTTCCTGAATGCTACCACTAAATTGTGTGACTGTGGCATTACAGTGCATCTAATGTAACTGGGGCCATTTACACCATTTAGACCAATTAGAGAACCAATTACAATGTAGAAGAAAAACAATACATTCCAACTTTGGGCAGTTGAGCCAATCAGAAATCTAGACTGCATGAAAATTGTAGTTTGACCCTGATATTACATGTAAACAACTAGATAACCATCGTCATTTTCTTGTGGGAATAAAAAGATATGTTGAAAGGCTATTGTTTTCTGCTGCTTTCTGATTGGCTCCACTACCCAAAGTGGAATGTATTGTTTTTATTCTACAATTTGATTTGTTCTCGCTGTCTAAGTGGCCCTGTTTATAGTAGTCACACTGTAAGTTTTCATTCTTCTCATCTTTCCTTTATTTCTTTTTTTTTAGTCCAGGTCCTACAGCGTTCTTGGACATTTTAGCACCACCCTATGAACCAGACAAGRTAGTACTGATCTATTCTAATATTTTTGAATAAAACTGATTGCGAATTATTTTAGATTTTATATTCTCATTTCTGATATATTTTTTACTTTATTTCTATTGTGCTTTATATAGGATAGAGATTGTACTTATTATAAAGACTGTGATCCACTGGTATGTGTGTTAGCTTGGTATATCAATAGACCTTATTCATGGTGTGACAATGTTTTCCCAATTCAGTGTGACAAACCTCTGGGGGAATGAAGAGCTATTATTTTGAAACTCATTGGGATGTCATCGTTATTCCTTTCATATCCTTTGGGATACTCATGAATTTTTCGAAGAGTAACAACGAAAGAATATGAGTCCYCTGGAGGTTCGTCACGCTGAATTGGGAAAACATTGTCACGCCACAAATAAGGCCTATTGAATCTGAATAGATAGTTATAGCTAGGGCAAAATGACAGTGATTGAGGAAAAAGCTGGGCCAAGTTGACATTGCAGCGCATTTTGGGGCTGTTTAAGGGGACATATTTCCTAGATGACATCTATATTGTCCTCTAAATCAGCCCCACAATGAACTGTAATGCCATCCTTAGAATGGCCAAAGACTACTTACAACCTTAGGAGCAGGTGTAGCTCAGTAGGTTAGTGTGCGGCCTTCAGAGCTAGAGGTCCATAGTTTGATCCTAAGGAACTCCGTGTCTGTTTCCAATTTTTCTCTGTCCTGTGTAGCTTTAATTAGCTTTAAATACCTGCAAAAAGGAGCACTGATAGTAAGAGGGGGTAGAGGGCGCTCCTTTGACCCCATTAAACATAAGTTAATTTGAGTCGTCTTTTCTTACAGGAAAATAGTGATTTGTTGGAAAATGGCGATGACAAGGACAGGTACCTAACTGATAATGAACACCTTAACTAATGTTCTAATTATCATACTTGCATCTAAAAGTATGCCGTGGATATCAATAATTAAAATGATTGAACATTGTCAAGATAAGTGTAACACATTTGCCATACTGTAGTAAAATGCAATCCACGTTTCTTATTGTTCAAGGATAAGATGGCTGATACCAGTAAATGCTCCAAGAGATTTTTATTGTGATTCACAGGTAAATATCATCATCAAAATCATGTTGTGCATGCCGTATGGCTTGAACTGCTATAATGCTATAATTACGTACACCTACTTGCAAGAACGTTGTCATACGAAAATAGAACATTAGCCATTTAGTGGGATAGGAATTATAAATTATTAAAAAAACAAAAGAAGATCACTGAAGCTGAACATTTTCTGTATTCCTTTCTCACTAAATCACTAATGTTCTAATATTGTATGACAAAGTTTTTGCAAGTAGGTGTACACCAAATCCAAATAAAGTGACCAATTTGAATAACTATTGTTCTGCAATGACTAGCGACAGACTATCCTGTGTTCACGTGGAAACAAATGAAAACGTTTTCACTAGTATGAGAGGCTAGATAGTGCAGAACAATATCGTTCAGTGAAAAAAAATGTAATCACTTGAATTTTTCCTTTGTCATTTTCTTAATACAACGGAAGTCACTAGACTGGAAATTTTTGTATCCGCAAATTTTTTTTTGTGGATACGGGTTGCGTCCACACGTGTCCGCAAATTTTTGTGTCCGTATCTGCAAATTTTATGAAAACGGATACATGTGGACGGTGAAAACAATTCGAATACGCTGGGTGTGGATGCAAACATTTTCGTATCCGAAAAAAATAATTTGCGGATACAAAAATTTCCGGATACGTTTGGACGGGGCCTTATTGTCTTTAACAACTTCTTTCACAGAAATACATGGGACCAGATATAGAGTTGTGATTCCAGTCTTTTGAGGGTGGTGTCTGACATTGATGGCATGTCAATCAGAGGGGTATCGTAAAACATGAGGATGACCAAGCGTGATTACACCTGCCGTGTATGACAGACAGTTAATGGACTATAATGAAATGATATAATAGCCAAATTATAAGTTTTGAAGTAACTTATAAAGGAATCAAAGCATGTTGAAAGCCTTAAAAGGTGGAAGAAAAGTTAGAGAAATTTGGGGCATGAAACACTAATTACAGTGCAAAAAATAATGGCTGGTCAATAGAAAATGTCTGGTCAATAAAAAATGTCTGGCCAATAATCGGCACATATCCAGCGACACTTCTCTTAGACTGGTCTTCTTGACAAGTCACATTCAATGTTCACAGCTTGATCAGTGTGATGTGGTCAAGTCATCTTTTCTGGACATTGAGCGGCCATTATTTTAGCCCTGCATAATGAGGTGGAATTGAAGGCACCCTCGTGTYAACTTTGAATAATTACTGCTGGTTATTGTACTTGTCATGTTCATTGAATCTGACAAAACATTTTACTTCAGTTGGTTTATTTTCATTATCTATCAATCAACATGACATCTACAGACTTACCTCTCATAATTTCATTTAGCTCTTACTCTCTTAGAAATAACAAAAATTTCTTGGAAGGTTGAGGTTTAAGGGTAGTCTGAGCTGCCCCACCTCATACATATCTAACAAAACCTTTAGCCCCTTGCAAGATCTTACCTACATTGAACCTACTTGGGGCCCTCTTAAGCTTGAAACTGCCCCTATCGGGAGTTTAACCATTAAGTTATCTCCCTGTTGGAGTAGCTGCATATTAAATCAAGTGAGGTTTATTCATAATATTGTCACTAGGGCTAAAAATATGGCAGGTCAACGATGGTAGTCTTTCAGTCAAATGCGTCTTACACAGGCCTTCTTGACCAGTGATGTGGCAATCGTAATGTCTGACTATTGATCAGCAGCTGCTGTTGTTTTAGCCCTGGTTTACAACAGAACCTCACTCACCAGGTTGTATATTTTAAAATAATTTAAGAAAAAGTTAAGTATTACTATTCGATAATAATAATTTATACATCTTATCACATCTCTTCTGTTCTTTTCTTGGTTCTCCAACTTAATTTTWAAAAAAACTTTTTTAAATAATAAAGTTCTGGCTGGCCATCGAACTACTAAATCTCTCTGATAAAATTATTATATTATTACTATCAAAATGTAGAATCTAAAGCAAGATAGTACAGTCAAGAGCTCACACACTTCAATAGTCTATAGGGAGACATTACTTCAAAGCATACATTGATACCCTTGTAAAAAAAGTTAGTTTTAAGATATCTAGTTGATAAAAAGCTCTGCAAACTGGTATGGAACCTAAGTAATTATTGTTGTGCAGTCATAGAACGAACTTTTTAAAAAAGTTAGTTTTAAGATATCTAGTTGATAAAAAGCTCTGCAAACTGGTATGGAACCTAAGTAATTATTGTTGTGCAGTCATAGAACTTTTTAGTACCTTAGGTGTAATGTTTACACATTTCAGACAGTCATTCCCTGGAGTATTATTTCTGTGTTTAATGATTGTGCATGAGAAGACACATGAATATAGGTTCAACTACAACAAAAATTAATGATCTTGTTGCCAGGAGGATGACACATGAAGCTGAAATGGGAAAACATAGAAAGTGCAATCTCAAACAGACGTGACTTTTAATTCCTAAATGAATCTTACTCTCAAGGGATGACATGTATGCAGAAATAGGAAAAACATCTTAGTAGCACTCATCAGGATTTACTACAGATCTCACTGAACTGTGGCGACATGCCAAAAATTTGTCTCGCTACCAAACCCTAATTTGTCTACTGACACGTCTACTTTTGTTACATGTATTACATTGCATACCTTACTGGTAATGTGCTAGATCCGAGACAGTGACAAAAGTAGGCGTGTCAGTAGACAAATTAAGGAGTTGTACAATTTTGTTAGCTTTTTCACAGACACGTGTATGGTATATGCACTCATGTCTGGTGTAATCAAGCAATTTGAAGATCATTTTAATGAATATACTCAACTTTTTTTCCATCTAGATATGRGGATATTGCTTTATTCATCAAATTCACTAGCTAGTAGTCACGTTTTTCACTTTTTGCCCCGAAAACTGTTTTTGAAATAGGTGTATCTAGATACCCATAGTTAACATGGGGTCCTGGATCTGTATCTCACTCGAGCTCTCAGCTGATAACTTCTAGTTTCTCTATGGTATAAGATACAAGTTTAAATGGTGACTAAATGAGACTTGAGCATTTTATGTATATAAAAAATGGCTGCCTTGAAAGCCCTTCTTCATGCCATGTTACAGTTTGCAATACACAGTCAAAGATGAAGCTTATAAAATAAAAGAAAATAACTTTGAAATAAATAAAAGGAAAAAATATTCTAGTTTTTGTCTTGTTTTATTTTTAAAGACGTGTAAACTAAAGATTCTTATGAAAAACAAAAATATATCAGAACTAGCCAGAAAGTTGTGGAAAAGTCTATACCCTTTTGCTTTGGACGCTCTTCTTCCTTCTTGCATCTTTGCTCTCTCCCATCCCACCCTCCCCTCCCCTCCCATCCCCTCTCACCCTCTGTCCCTGGCTTACTATCCCCCTCCAACCTTGTAATTGTTCTCCTTCTTAAGCATTGTTTTATTTAAAATTGAATTTACTTTACAAATTTGAGACCAGTGTTCTACCAGGCAGAGTTTTAAATGGTCATGTGATGGACGGTAAATTATTAATCAATATGAATTTTGATAGTATTAATATTATTTAATAGTATTAATAATTATTTGAGAATATTGATAATATTACTGAGAATCTTTAAAAGCAAGGAGTAATAAATAGGCAAGAGTAGCTATATCTCCAGAAAAGGGGACTTAAAGTAAGGACAATGATTTGACAAAAACCTTTTCTAAAGGTTAACTTAATTATTTATAGCCTGTGTTCGACCTTTACATCACATCTTTCAATCACATGCAAGAAATTACAGAATTTTTAGTCGTAACAAAGTACAGTAGGTTTTGGTGGATGCCAATCAAGATGTTTTCATGACATTTTGATAGTCAGTGCATATGCTCTTCAAAGCTTTCGGTTTTCTGACAATGACATGGAAACACTTTGATTGACGTCAACCAAAAATCTATTTTGTCGCAACAGAAAATCCTACCATTTCCAACATGATTGAGAAGCTCTGAAATACTGGCTGGTAGGGCCATATGCAATGCTTCCCATTCACATACAAGTAAATAGCTTAATAATTGGTAAAATGTTCCCTTACAATAGACTCTCTGGCTAGTTTATGACCTCATATTTTTTTCGAAACTTAATGAAAAATCCTGGACAGGAATAAGTGACCTGATGTGTAAGTGTTATCAAAAAGAAAGCAAACAATAAAGTAAAGTCAATCCCCTAAAAAGTGATTAAAAGCAGTGTTGTTCAAACTAAACAACCTGTAGTCATGACAACATGGTCATGTAACACAAAGGATCTTCATAAGGACATTGTGGACATTGATAAGGCATTTTAAGGCAACTGCCTACTTTTGAACGTTCGATTTGAGCCCATGATGAGCGCGCGCCCAAAAACCGCTGAAAAATCTACAAGATTTTATTGAAGAACCATATGCGTTTTGAGCTTCAACAGGGCAAAACCCTCAAATTTTGCACAGGACTCTATTTCTTAATAGTTTACTTGAATAAACTCCTAAAAATCTAGGTTATATCAACATTTTAGAAAAAGTTAAATATTCTAACACATGAAAAAATAGATTTTTGTAGGGAATTTTTTTTGACTTTGAGATTTTTTAAGAGCACCGAAACTACAAAATATGACAAATCAATGTATCTCTTTGTCTTTTTGTCGAAAATATCCATGTATTATTGTAGAAGGATTGACTTGCCGGCATTTGTGCAATAACTATTATCTTATAAATTTTAATTTTTTCCTAATCACTTCCTGTGGCACAATTTTTGCTCCAAAACCTCACACATAGGCTTCCATTTAAAATGCTGATTATCTCGAAAACAAGCTTGGGACACCCAATTTTTCTTTCCAGATTTGGAATCAGCATTAAATTTCAATTTGGAAAATTGAAGTTTTAAAAAAAGTTTAATATTTTTTCCAAAAGTAGGCAGTCACCTTAAGACCTTGTCAGGGAACAAAAAGGTATCAAGCTGATGGGACTAAGAGATGCTAAGGAAATAGCTTGACTGAAATGTACCAAAAGAAGGTATGATAGTGCATTTGGGCACTGGTTAATCTATCGTGGTTTAGTAATTGACCAAGCACAAAATTAATTATGCAATTATGGTCAAAGGATCGATGAATTGTGACAGACAGCAGTGCAGTCAATCATGAATGGCAGACCAACTGACCACACTCAACCTTGCTCAACTTATCAAACGTTGTTTGAATGGATCACTTCAACAGTCAATATTGACTCGTGCTCAGCTGTAAGTATCACCATACCCAAGCTTACTACATAATAAACCAGTTTTGAATTCCAAATTACCGCTGTGTTCCTTGATTACAGACTACAGGGTTATCCACGTATCAGTGTCTAAATATTCACAAATACCAACGGTAAAGTAAAGAATGCACAACTCCAACAATACAAACACTTTGAAACTCGACAGACCTTGACTGGAACACGTGAATATTCTGCACAAACTCAAGGCTAGCCCTGTACAAACGAGTCTGTAATCAAGAAACACAAGTTATTGAGAACAAGGTCCAAAAAGTCACTTGACCATTCATCCACAATACACCACTTGCATGTGACGTCAAAGCAGCTCAATCTGGGGGACAAAACAAAAGAATCCCAATCTCCTGAGAATTGGAACCTATTGTTTTGTCCCCCAGATGAAGCTGCATTTCGACATGCTGCAAGGGGTCTATACTGCCTGTTTTTAAATGCCAGCTAGAGAAAGTTAATTTGAAACTCTAGCATGGTAATGAACATCTGTAAGAATCTCAAAAACTAATATTCACATAATCAACAATTATTCATATTTTGTATATAACACATGTTTTTTCACTGAACTGAAAAACTAATAGCCACTTCTGGATGTTACTCTGGTGGTCCTAAGGTACTATGTTCTTTTGGGAGTATTCCTCTCAGTGAACATATGAGTATTGTATTCTGTTATCTATCTATTCAGCTATCGAGCGAAAGTCTAAATAAGACAGAACTTTTTCCGTTTTTTGCCTCCATTGACTTTGATTGCTTTTGGTTGATCGCTTTGTTTCGCTTGTTGCTCCTTCTTCTGTTTTAAGACCATTTTTGTTATAGCATTAAATATCTGATAAGAGAAAGTAAAAGAGAAATGTCGTTTAGTTAGTTGGGTCACTACTTTCAGCAGCAGACCAAGAATTTATTTTTGTGTCTATACTGTGTATTAATTAGCAGTAGACACTATGCCATAGAATTTACCCGGATATACTTTATATCCTATTTAACTAACTCAGGTTTAGCCTTGAATCAGTGTCTAAATATTCACAAATACCAACGGTAAAGTAAAGAATGCACAACTTCAACAATACAAACACTTTGAAACTTGACGGACCTTGACTGGAACACGTGAATATTCTTCACAAAATCAAGGCTAAGCCTGAGTAAATCAGTCTGTAATCAAGAAACACAGCAGTAATTTGGAACTCAAAAAAGGGTCTTTTCTTACCTCTTCAACATTTATATTTTCTTTGGCACTTGTTTCAAACACTTGAATATTCATTTGTTCCCCAAACTTCTGTGCATCTTGTGTTTCTACTACTTTTCTTTCAGGACAATCATTTTTATTTCCAACTAGAATAAACATAACAACAGATATTTTTTCGAGAAATCCAGGGCTCGAAATAGGAATTTATATTAGCCTGCCATAGTAAAGGAGCATGGTAAAAGGAGGTCATTCCAGTAAATTTTGCATGCCATTTTATTATTCATTTGGCAGCACATCGTTATTTTTGCCTGCCAAACCTGAAATTTGGCCTGTCATTTGACCATTGGCAGGCCGCTATTTCGAGCTCTGAAAATCGTGTCTGAAGCCCCAGGCTATTACTTAACAAGTGTTGCAAAGCACTCCAATATGCATCATGCTTCTCCTAACAATTCTGCCAATCTTTGCATGCTCACAGCATGCACACGCATTTTGTATTTCCTTATTCATAACTAAAAATTTTTTAAACAGTTTTTCACGGTTTTGATGTCCTCAATCTGTGTGTGGCAAAGATCCAGATTTTCCTTACCCAATATTCTAGTTACATCATCACAGTTCTGATCAATTTCATGAAGCCATCGCTTCACATTTACAAAGGTATCAGCACTGGTAACATCATATACGACTATTACACCATGGGTCCCGCGGTAATATCTGAAAAATAATAGGTTGTTTCAAGATTTAATAAAATTTATGTTTCTTCTGTTGGAGTTGAAGCTTCATGATGAAGTATCATAGTTTAAGATATCAAGAAAAATGCTTTCTGACTTAGACTTACGTTGATGTAATAGTCCTGAAGCGTTCCTGTCCTGCAGTATCCCAGATTTGTAATTTGACTTTTTCTCCATCTATAGTGATTGTCCTTATCTTAAAGTCCACACCAATGGTCGTAATATAAGACCCTTAAATAACCCCAAACAAGGAAAAGAAATATTAGATTTCAACGAATTTTTGGTATTTTATTTTGACTACACGTATAGTAACAATATGAAATGTCATTGATCACTTTATCAACTACACATATTAAATAATCTTTCCTAGAAACATGTCAACACCTTTTTAATCTATAATGAGATAATTTGCTGCCAATTATTTTTGATTGCTTGCCAGTAAGTAAACTCAGTCAAGTAACCAGGCTGTAAATACCTGAAATATTGGTAAAGTGAATATTATTCAATCAAAAAAAAACTAATCGATTTAAAGATGGTCATGAAAAATTGTGCAAATTAATTGTCAACTTGCATAATCTCAGGACAAAAATTTTTTGCAAGTAAATTTAAACAAAATAAGTAAAGTAAACCTTAAATACATATACTTGTGTCTATATTATTCGTTCTATCTATTTCTTTGCTCAAGCATTGAAGCATGAAATGTCTAAGGAATAAGTATGGACCCATTGATTTTGAGATAACAAACGATATCATATACAAGTGCTTAACTATTAACAGATTGGTCCTTACTTGTTTACAAGAACGTGTTTTACAAAAGTACTTTACCAAAGTTAAATCTGGCACAAGTGCATGTTACAGTGTAWATACATTCCAGCATGCTTTCTATGCATGCATTCATTACGTGTATATACATGTACAGTACATGTACAATATGTACAATACATGTACATATTAGGTATCATAGAACAGCAAATAGAAAATCCAATAAAACTTACCAGAAAACATGTTATCTGCAAATCTAAGCAATAAACTGCTTTTYCCAACACCTACAGAATAGACAAATGATGCATTAATGATATAATGACAGATAAAGCAATGAGCCATGTTTCAAATCTAGTGGTCTCAGTTCCTGATCAAACTGGAGTTTGAAAGTCGATTTTTGTGGAGGGAGGAGAACCTGGAGGAAAACCCTTGAAGCACAGGAGAGAACCAACAAATTCTACTCAAACACGACACCAAGCACAGGAGGAATTAAACCTGGGTCGCATTGATTAAAGGGCAACGCCTTACCAGCGCACACTATGTGTGCTTCTAACACAACAACAATAATTAAAACAAAGGAAAAAAATGTTTTTCTAAATAAAATCTCTGACTGTAAACTTATTATAAGTATCACACTTAAGTTAGTAATATGAGAACTGAAGACACTGAAGCTACAGTTTTAGCTTAACTCCGAGGATCATTTCAAATTTCCTGTTTTTATAACTACTTGCACTTTCTAAGCCTTTCACTACATCAGTTATTTCCATATCAAACAAACACACACAAAAATTGCTCTATAGATCCAACACATTCATTTACATTATTAAAAATTCAAAAACTATTCTTTATACCATATCAGTATTTCTTTAAACATAGTGAAACTTAGATGACATTACATCTAGCTGGCCAAAGTGCAAAAACTTTATGCATTATTCAGTGTGACATAAAAGTGAAAACTTTATATGATAGTAATTACAGCTTATGTTATTAGTCACTCTTTTAAGTAACACTATAATAAAATTCAATAAGACAATACGTGATATATTTAAATTAGTATTCTATGGTTTAAAGAGTTTATATATGCTGATCGATGAAATAGCACAGTTACTGTACAACGTCAGAATATATTTATGATTAACCTTATAAACAAAACGTTTCTGTCAAATTTTTCTCTCAAACTTTGTTAGATTTATGTATAATAATGTTCAAATATCAATAATAATATAATTAATAATGATATAGAAGTTAAATATTTAGCTCATAGTTATAAAATTAGGGATATATGGATTATTACTAGGTACGACATCATGGTGTTGTTACGTCATCACTAATTTTTTTACGTGACGCTAAGTTGGAATCATGCCTGGAAATACCTAATCTAAGATATCTATGGATCAAAATCCATCAAAAAGTCCTAGAGTCATACCGTGAATACAATTAGGTGAACATTGTATGAATATTATAGAAAATCCTAGATCGACTTCATTCACAAAAGTAATGATCAATGTTTGAATGTAATTAGCTTGTATCCAACAGATTACACACTTCGCATTCGAAGTATTACTTCTTCTTATGGTTGTGAAGAGAGATCTTTTAGGATCATGCTGACGAAAACAAAAAAATACAAAAAAACAAAAACAAAAATAACGTGTATGTTTTCACAAGACGTGAACGTGAATATACCCTCTGAACCAACAAAGACGAATAATTTTGAAAGCAGTTTGTTTACACTTCAACAATAAAACTGCAATACCTTGGACAAACATCTGTACATATGATCCAATCATACCCTGGGCTTATGTGCGGATGGTACTCACATAAAATATTCATTGAAGAGTTCCCAAGAAAGAAACATTGAATTGATTCAGTTCAGGACCAGGAGATCGAGCCAGAAGGCCAGCAACAATCGTTTTCAGCCGGTTTATCGCAGTGGTTTGAGTATTTTGAGTTCTAATCATCCACCAAAGACCCTAATCCTTCGCCCATTCCCTTGCCCTGATCACCCATTTTTCTTCACTTACCACTGTCTCCGATAATAAGGAGCTTAAATAGATGATCGTAGTCCCTTGCCATATCTAAATCACGGTCTAAAAAGCCTTCAGACTTGAAGAATTCACAATTTTTCCATGTAGAATCTGTGCTCACAGGAAGTGACTTGAAGCAACAAGACAACCGAACACGTCACGTGGTTTAGCTATTCGAGGTGGGGCCTGATCATTAGTCACCAGGCTATGCTCTTTCTAGACACTGAAAAGAGGCAAACACAGGCAACCCGTGACACTAATAAAACATCACACTTTTTATTATATTTTTTAAGATATTAGATTAAAGGCGCGATTACGTGGAGCTATTTTTTCTGCAACTTGTGTCGCAACGGGGCGTTGCGACACAAGTTGCACGGCAGCGCGTCATAATCTACAGTGCAATTTGAACGATGTTGCGAGACCGGTTGCAGCAATCGTTGCGAAAGGTAGAATGTGTAGAGACACTCTTGCAACTTGTGTCGCGACGCTGTTGCGAGACAATTTGCAGAGAAAATGACTTCGTGTAAACGAGCCTTAAGAGCGTCGAAGATCAGAGAGAAGCTTATCATAATTATTATTAGTTACGAGCTCCTGAAACATGAAAGGAGGAAACCACAGGTAACCCATACCCATAGACCCTAGGGGAAAAAAAGCAAAAAATGGTAAAAATAAAAACCATTGCTTAAATGATTGGTTGAAAAACTGATCTCAGATTAAACCTCGGGTTATAATTATTATATTAGTTGCAAGGTTATTCTCTGACGGGCCCCCCTAAAAAGGCGCCACCACAGGCAGCCCATTAACTATTAAAAACAGAAAATCAATGGTCAAATTGGAAAATAAAATCATGTATTATTAATTTTCGTTATAAATTATACACTGTAAGAGATGTTTTTTTGGAGAAAATCACGAATCGTATAGACTGGTTGATAGGACGGAACGTCGGTTGGCTGAATTTTTGATCACGAAATTTTCGCCGAATTTTCTACTTTTGAAGGGGTACGAATAATCTTAATGTACAGCAAAAACATTCTCAACTTTTGAAATTTGATTTTTGCTTCTAATTTCCGAATTATGAGAGATTTTTTATTTTGGAAAATCAGGAACCGTGCATGCGTGGAATGGAATGAACTTCAGCTAAGTGGATCGTGGATCGCAAAAACATTTTTACGCCGAATTTGCAGCTTTTGTCTCATAATTTTTAATTAAATATTCATAATTAGCAATTTTATGATGAATGTTTCAAAAAATCTATATTAATTTTTTTGTTTAAATTTGGATCAAGATGGAAACTATGTTGTTGGAATATTTTTAATTCGTTTACAAACTTCGACAATAAGTCTATCCAGATTACAGTGTAATCAAGAGTAGGATTTATAAAGATATTGCATTGGTTGATATAAGTTTTTTTCAGGGTTTTTTCTAGTGGAGACGAGGCCACCACAGATTACCCAAATTATGGTCTTCTAACTTCCTAACCAGCCTCAGCAAAAACACACAAAAATTCTATATCGAAATTTAAGCAAATTTTTAAATTATTTATAAATGAGCGTTTAGTTTTTCTACATTATTTCTCTCATTTCTGTTCCCTTTTATTCCACTTTCGTTTCCAGGGATTTCCCAGTCGACTGCTTCAATAAAGGCGAGGCTACCTTTTCCAACAAGGAACGCCTTGTAACTTTTATATTTTCCCCGGGTTAAAATCATCAATAATGTACTGCAAAAATGTTTAGAAGTACTCGTAAAATATCTCTAACGATATTGAATTCTTCTAGATCGAACATCAACTACGTTAGCTTACGAAATGTCGATATTGTGAGACAATCGTCAAGTCTTATAACGAGGTATGGCACATTTTTGTATTACATAATGCTTCAATGAAACAGCCTTTGGGCTGATCAGGACTTGAGCAAGTCAGGACTTGACGCCTTTAGCCCAGGGTAAAGTCTAGCACTATGTTAAGACCTCTCTTTAAGCCCTGTTTTTAATTTTATTTTCATAATAATAGTTCTCCAGTGCGATTAGCATATGTGAGAGTTGAAGGAAAGGACACAGATCCAGACCCACCTTTATTTATTTGCCATGGGTTATTTGGAGCTAAAAAGAACTGGAGAAGTATTGCTAAAGCATTGAACCGGAAGACATCCAGAGAGGTATGCATGTTAGTATGGTGGTGTCCTGTTATCTCTAACCTCCTGGACACCAGATAATAGGGTTTTATGTAATTCATTAAATGGAACACAGCCTCAAGTTTGAAATGATGAGAAAGATATTTGGGGTTTGAAATGACAGGTCTCCACTGTATAAATAAGATGATGATTGCCACATACATTTGCATGGCAGGAAACGTTTTTTTATACTCATATCAGTCAATAATTATTCTTATTTCTTATAGATAGTTGCTATTGATGCAAGAAACCATGGTAACAGCGACCACCACCCTGAAATGAATTACTTTGTCCAGGCTCTGGATGCAAAACATCTGATTCAGAAATTAGACATTCCTAAGGTGATAATAATTGGACACAGTATGGGAGGCAAGGTTGCCATGACGATGGCCTTGTCGTTTCCTGAACTGGTTGAGAAAATCATTGTCGTCGATAGTTCACCAGCTCCTTCTATCTCAGATGAGGATATACAGAGATATCTAAAGACAAAAATGGAAATGGGTCAGAGTAAGATTAGGAGTAAAAGAGATGCAGAAAAAATGATGATGAATACTGTTAATGTAAGCACCCAAACCTTAGTTTTTCTAGAGTTCTTCAATTTTAACTTATGTACTCTTTATTTATATATCCAGGTCTGCTCTGAAGAACTCTACCATATTACTTATTTACATGCATCTCTTTTCTTTTTGTCGCCTCAGAGTCGAATTTTAAGACAGTTCTTCCTGACCAATCTTATACCATCAGAGGAAGGTTACAAGTGGAGAATAAATTTGGAAGCTATTGATAATAACTTGCAGTATCTTATGGATTTTCCTTCAAAATTTCCACACAAACAGTTTAATGGAGAAGCCATTTTTATTGGTGGAGGAAGATCAAGATATATTCAGTAAGTGGTTTCAAGTTTAAAAAAAGGATTTTATGTGAATTTGTAAGCCATTAATAATTAGTATTGTGTATATATATATTTACACTTGATTGCAGAAAGGTTGTAGTATACATTTATACAAATATCTAATGAGATGCAAGATATCAAATGAGATGCAGGATTTAAAACATGCTTAAATATGATTGCTTAGCCACAGCATTTTGTGGAAAATATTTTTTAACTTGAGTTTGTGCAATACGTGTGTCTCTGATACAATAGAAGATAAGGAAGACCAAATAAGCTACTTTTTAAGTTTTGCATCTCATTTGATATCTTGCATCTCATTAGATATATGTATAAATGTATACTACAACCTTTCTGCAATCAAGTGTATGTAATATATACAGTATGAGTGGGCGTGTTGTGTCAAATATACAAACTTGAAGCATAGCCAAGAGTTTGTATATCAGATACAACACGGACACAAATACTGTAGATCGCTTGTCAAGCATCTAGGTTAGTTCCTTTGTGTTTCACTAAAGTTTTCAAAATTAAAGTGAATCTGGCCAAGAAAATCCAACTTAAAGTTTATGCAAATGAACACAATTTTGTATCAGATTTACAACACTCTTCGCGGTCGTGATTTCTGTTGTGTTTTCCTCATGAATTATTAATGAGTTTGACAAATACATACATGTATATATATATATATTCTCCTAGTCACTTCCATGTAAAGTCAGCTTTATAGCCTGCATTACAGGTGTTCTTGGTTAGCTGACATAGCTGAGCAAATTAGACTAATAAAGTAGTATTACTTACAATATGTTATTATCTGTATTCTTCACAGAGAAAAGGATTATGATATAATCTACAAGCTGTTTCCCAAAGCAGAAATCACCTTCATCCCTGACTGTGGACACTGGGTTCATGCAGAAAAACCAAGAGAGTTGATGGAAATAATTCAAGATTTTCTAATGCGGTATCCATGACAATGAATTGATTGACATTTTTATAGAGAGGAGGGCAAGAAGTGGTCATGAGAGGTGATATTTTTTTTCCAAACAAAAGAATCTCTTGGAATTTCCAAACACCAAGAAATGAATTTTGTGGCAAATTTGAGGTTCTAAGATAGAGGTTGTAGAGATCAGATTAACCAGAAATCATACATTTATTTTGTAAGAACTTTCTTAAGAATATATTTTCAAAATATTAGTTTGTTGTAGCATCTATGCCAGTAAAAATTCAAAATGAAAAAAAAAAAACACAATATCCATTCCATAAAAAAAATCATTAATATCTATCACTGCCTTCTCAAGTCTTTCAAGTTAGCTAATGTATACCGTAAATCTACTTTAAAGAAAGGCAAGGTTTTTCTTGTTGCCTGATTGACCTAGCCTTTGAGCAGCTTGTCTTTAATTCTGCTCAACCAAAGTTAAAGTTGGACTGTATGAAAGGGATCCTGGTTCTGAGTAGAAGCAGTGAGTAGTAAAAAGCTGCACAAGGTAAGAATATTTCTGAGATGGTTTTCCTGTGTAGAAGATCATGTAAACACACCAAATTATCACAAGGCAGTGTGACTTTTTGATATAGTGCAGTATGAAGTATTCTTCGATATAAAAGTCGTAGCTTTTTTGCAAACAAATTGCTACTTATACACCCTCCAAATCTGTCACCATCAATACTGCATGCAACAAATGCAACAATGGTATGCCCACAGCATAATTCAAGTCCATTTTAAAAGGAATGCAGGGAACTGCAACTTATTGACAATATTTTCACTGCCATGACTGGAGTTCATGAGAGTTATTATTACGTCATCACAAGTTATAGTCTTCTTACCAACTCGTCCACATTGAGGATAAGGAGGTCCTCTTATATCAGCATCAATAGTGTAACATACATCTGGTTCCAACTTCACAGGGGGGTGAATCATCACTGTAAATCCAGGATATAAACCATCTATCAACTCTTCTCCAGTCGTATAATGTTGGTGGCCAATGCTTTGATAAAGGATAGTATATGGGTCATTGGCTCGATAAATTTCTATGTTTACTTGATACTGACGGTTGTGAAATCCAATTAACCTGACACCAGCGAGAGAGACACGTTTGTTTACCAGTAAATCGATGCAAATAGGACCCTGGATGTTCGTCTCACCAAGGAACATCTTACGTGTACGAAATGACATTGGCTGTAGACTGCTCTCATCATGACAAAACCTCACCTCTGACCATCTTTCCTTGTGTTGTCCTATTCTTCTTTCACACTTGAACACTTCCTGTCTTGCCTCAATCCCGCTAAAAGCCTGCATAATTTCAACGATTTCGCTTTTAATGAGAATGTCACTAGGCAGGACATAAGAAGCAAATTCCTTCTGTGACATTACTGGAAATCTGATAAGGTGAACCGCCTCCTCTCCCAGTTCATTTCGTTTTCTACCCCCTTCTACTAGTTCCGCTTTAGGATTTTTCTTATTCTTGATTTGAAACGACGCCCAACGATCAGCAGCATGAAAAAGATCAATCTCTTCAATATGCAGCCATTCTCTAGCAAGTACTTCACAAAGCAGTTCACGAGAAATGTTTAAAAACGGTTGTGAAGTGACTGCTCGTTGGGTATAGGTGTCGATAATATCCCAACAAAGATAGAAGGCTTTCTTGTTGGCAGTGTTCTGAACTTGGGGAAGAACGGTGAAGACATCCTCTGGCTTAAGCGATTCCCTAAGGTAGTGATTACACCTCTCAACAAGAAATGGCAGCATGTATTTATCAGCAAGTAGCATCACTTCCATCACATTGCTCTCTGTCAAGTTTACCTCATCTGTATAGACATAATGAAGCAGTTCTTCCAGCCCTTCCTTGGTGCAGTCTGGTAGATCTACAACCTGTCGTGTCTCAGCCAGCTGTCCATAAAACATGGCTTGGAAGACTGGACTACTGATAGCCAATACGTATTTATGAACAGGAATGTTTACCTTATCTCCGCTCGAGTCTACAACAGAAAATTCGACGTCACAGAACAAAGAATTATTCAAAGCGTAAAAACTACGATCTCTAACACTCGGAAGAGTAGTTTGCCAGAATGAGGAGTCCATTGTTAAGCTTTTTACTTTAAAAGTTTATCGTATTGGGTCTAAGAGTTTCGATAACCGAATATAAACTCCAAAGGGACTCCAAAGTGAAATGCAATATGGCCTTCGGTCCCTGGACCTTCTCCTTTACCGCTCCGCTTTTATTTTTGGGCTTCCTGTGTCGCGGAAGGGGAGGAAAGAAATAATAGGTAATATGCGATGCACGAGCAGAAATCTCTAGCACAAAGCATGATGGAAAAACGAAAAAATAAATTAATAAATAACTTTATTTAAGTGTCAAGAAGAGATAACTAGCAAAAAACTAGTGTGAGCTGCGTCGGTGTTTCTAATGAAACAGTAGTGATAAAAGGATAAATTATACACCGTGAAAAGATGAAAAAACTTACTGACGTTTCGGACGCTAGTCCTTCGTCGGAGTAAAAGAGGTAAGTGTCGGTGTATTTAGTTCATACAACTAATTGGGGACGCTGAAATGAAACTGAAATGAAGGAATGATCAAAGAAAACTAAAGTGTTTTAAGAATCCCAATATACAAGGAGGCAACTGACAACTCGACGGTGGGTCTTCTTATGGACGTCCAGTTTACTCAATTGCAAACTTTCAAAATGGGAATAAGACTGTCAAGCTTGTTTGATTTTCATCTTGAGCTCTTTATTTAAGAAAAATAACCGGGAGCTAGGAAATTCCCAAGTTAAACGAAAAACGAGTCAGATGCAGAAAGGTCTATATATAGAACTCAAATGAAAACACACAAGTGCCTTTAAATGCCCATAATTTATTCGTACTATTCGTGTTTAATATCAAGCATATTATATACTTAATGTTTTATTTGCTCAAACCCTTAACCATTTGAGCTTTCTTGGAAGAAAAAATCAATGCCTTAGTATTATTTCTCAGTAGCTTTTAGTAGCTTGCTATCAGTCGTCTGTCTTCTTACTGGTCTGGCATGATAACAAGAATAGCAGGATGCAAATCCCAGCACCTTTTAGCTCCGGTGTCAGAGGAATCGCATGACTGAATGACAAAACGTGTATTGGACTTACTCCACTTAACGGCCATTGAATGCTCATGGGCTGAGGCAGTTGAAGAGATCACGTTCACTAACCCTCCTGCCTTTGCAAAACTGACCTAAAAAATCAATTATATAATAAATTATTTTAGTTGTAGACTCTTTAAGCTGTATTACAATGGTAGACTTAGAAAATTTGGAAGCCTTATCTTTTTCCAACCTAGAATTCGTAGGGTCTCGAATAGACCTCCTCGGCTAGGGCATACGGTTTTCCCATGCATTTCAGACTTCGTGTTATTTCTCTTAGAAAAAGATTCGTTTGAGTTGTATCCATATTCATGTCTTCTCAAGTGCAACAGAGGGCAACCGTTAAACAAAGAAATTATATGTTAAGAAATCATACTCTAGGAATGACACGTGGTCTGAAATGGGAAAACATTGCGCCCGAGCGCGCCCGAGCCGATAAAGTCTACTTTGAAATTCTTTYTATAATGAGCTTCATAAAAAAAACGTCAGACGAGTTTTCCTTTGACTTACCTCATCAGAAGTTAGCAATATTTCATGTGTATGGGGCACAAGAACTTTGGACGTAGACAGTTGAACCTGAAGCCTCGTGTCTTTATTTGGAGGTTCTGTTGGTGCTGGCCCACTTTGAAGTGGTTCCCTGAATATATAGCCATTTGTCTTGGACTTGAGAACCATGTCTTTCAATGCATTCAGTTCCTTCCACACAGCACTTCCTTCGCCGTGTATGGGCATGATGGGATAGCGTTGACGTAGAATACCGAGGTCTCCGATTGGTGGAAAGAAGATTCTTGTCCCAGTTGCTTTACAGATCCTCATGTCACCTGGAGTAAAGAACCAAAAGATACACACTTGCTCAAATAAGATTAAAAGAGAGTAAATACCTGGTTTGAAGGTAGCTAAGAGCTTTCAAGGCAAGCGAAAATCTACAGTCCTTTGACTAAACGTTGTCGTTAATCGGATCATCCCTACGCGCCTAGACCGAAAAGGATAACGGGCAAATTACCCAGAACTTGCGTCATCCAAACTGCTCGCCAGTTTAAATCTTCGTCGTATGCTCGAGGCATGGTCTTAACAAATTAAATGGGATCGAAAACAGCGAGCTCAAGACGTGTTAGATAACATATGCGGCAGCTAGTAACTGTAAATTAATTACCCCCATGATCCTGTTCGGTCTAGGCGCGTAGGGATGAAGCCGATCAAACGACAACGTTTAGTCAAAGGACTGTATGCAATCAACAAAACATCGATTCGCTAACATGGACATATCTATGGGGCCCGCCGGCTTCATTGTGAACATTGTTGGCACGTAATCTTTTACATTGATTTTTGTTAGTAAACATAAGTAAACACAAACCCTTTTTGTCCAAGACTCCAACAGAATTCTTAGTTGTATCAGCAGCATCCGCTTCAACTTCGTTCCCTGCAAAGAACTCCATTGGAGTACGGTAAAACTTCCTGCTGTTTGTGCCATTGAATGCTTTCTCTTTGATCAAGTCGCCATTTCTTCCATTGGCCGTAACTGTATTGGCATAGCCCTTGCCGTCTTTTCCCTTGAACTCAATGTCGTATGGATTCCACTTGCTTAAGGGAGTAAGGTAGATGATCTCTAGGGGGATGGCATACGACCATTTTTGGTGCCAAGTGTTACAGACCTTGTCTTCATCTTCACCTTTGCATCTGTTGAGAGTCATGCCTCGAACCTTGGGTTGTGTGTTCATGGCCATGAAAAGATTTTGGTCAGCAAAGGCACGATGTCTAATGGATGTGCCCATTGCATCGGGTTCGGCAACTCTGAACCACCGATGATATCTGTCTGCTCTGAGCTTTTGGTCTTGTTTTTCTGGAGCCAAGGAATAGGCTGTTAAACCAAACGCGTCATCATACAATTCACCTGGATAGTTGTCTTGTCCAGGAATCTGTCCAGAAACACAACCATTAGCACATACATTACAACAACTATATTAACACATGTTAATAGTACATGTTCATTTGCCAATTCCAGCAACGAGAGAAAAAATGGAGAAAAAAAGGAAAACAGCGTAAATAGGATTGTCCTAAGCGATAACTTGTRKCCCTACCTCTGCCATAAGYTCGTCAAGAAGTCCAAACTTTGCTCTCTGAAAGCGTTCTGTGAACTTGTCTTCGTCATAAGGATTGAGTTGGAAGCGAGCAGCACGTGTCACAGAATGTTCGTCGTAGGTTCTTCTCCCTGCCATTCGAGGTGCAACTTCATCAACTACTCGTAGGCGGTTTAGAGGAACATCTCTGCTGAGTGGATGGCAAAGGATGCGATAGTTCCACTGGGCAAATTCAGGCAAATCTTCATCTGTGATGTTCATGACTGCGGTGGGAAGAAACGAGAAGTTCTCCAAGTTGTCTTTTCTACCGGCGTAAGAAGTGAATCGAACTTTCTCTTGCAGGTCAAACCAGCTGGATGCGTCTACAAAATGCCTGTCACTTTCGAACGGTTCATCGATCTTGCCTTCTGATGCTGCTGTCCAAGCTCCCTCGAGATAGCACAGCACAGGTTTGAAGTACTTGCGATAGTCTCTGACACTGTAGTCTTGGTCTTTCCATGCCTTGAACCATTCACGCATTTCTTCAATCTCTAAACTGACAGTTTTCTTGCTCGTAACCTCTGGTGGAACGTCTGGGAAAGGAATGTCCTCTACTGCATGTAACTCCTTGCTGGTCCTGTGAGGCATGTACAAGCGATAGTCATTGTGTCTTGTGCGGAACTCTACCCCGTTGAGGACTGCAACAAACTCTCCCAAACCTACAGTACGATCATTGTTAGAATGGTCATGGATGGCGACAAGACGGGTTGCACTACCGTGGGACTGCGAGTGGTAGTTTTGGGTGCCATCTCGAACATGTCGAACTTGCTTCACACCAGAATCAGCATCAGATCTTACTCTTTCCTCCACGAACAATTGCTGTAAGATCATTTGTCTGGTTAACGAGCCTACGGTCGTCTTGAGCGATTCCACGGTCTGTTTAAGCTCCGCTAACGTATCTTCTCGTATTTGGGGTTCCAGATAGTCAGTGGATCCCAAAGTACCCCCATCAGCCAGGAAAATGGATGTCGTCAAAGTAAGACAAACGAGAGAGACTGGAAGCAGTTGCATTTTAATTTCTTTGAGAACTGCAAATAAAATATATTTTGTTTGCTAATCTGGATCTTAGAATAAATAACGAATAAATGATAAGTAGTTGATAATAATTTCCTAGATAGCGCGTCCTCAAAAAAGGCTTCATGTTAAGCGAAGCTCAGCATAAGAAAAAAAGAAAAATGCAAAGAGGCGCATGCGGACGAGGCTAGTTTCATGTGATGCTAAAGGAGTTCAAATAACACGTTCTACGGGAGACTTCAGGTATTCTTTAATATACTAGCAGGATTTTTATCATACAGGTTTAAAACCATGCACGAGTTTTACTTGCAATTAACTATTAATATTTAGCGTCTTAAAAACAGGAAAAACTCCTTTAAAACTACTTTCATGGTATCGTTCTACTTACTTTGGTGCAGAAGACTTTTAGCTTGGCACAATCCCGTCGAAGAGGACTTCTTTAATCGATGTGTACTCGACGGCTGAACGTCCTCCAACTGTTTGCCAAGAAGCTAGGAAAAGGCTTTTACTCAGACTAACAAAGGACGGTTTGGCCTAGTATTATAACGAGGTTTCAAAGTTTGAGAGAATCTGATACGTGCAGGATCCCATACGGAATTCTAAAAAGCAAACGTTTTGTTTGATTTTTGTTTTTGTTTTACTTTTGTTTTGTTTTTTTATTTAAAAAAAATTTTTTTAGTTAAAAGAGGGTTCTATGAGGCTTTTACAAAACAACGTCTACTCTTAAGTTACTTCAGGCTGCGGCTATTAATAGCAGACGTTATTGTCTGAAAGGAATACCCTGTAATTTAGTAAAATATATAAATGTTCTATTCATTCGTATGTGCAAAAAAAAAAGCATTTGACAAAATTTGGACATACAGTATCATAACCTTTTATTTTACTATATTTTGCTTTTAATCTCTCGACCTGTTTCATATCAATGGGCCAAGATTTGGTTCATGCACATGAATTGTATACACGTGTAAGGTTTCCATAAAAAATCCGATCTTAAGTAGTGTGGCGCGACTTTCAAACAAAACTGAATAAGTTCATTAACAAACCCATTCAGCTTTGGAAATGTTTTGATATTATTTTCAATACGTGTCGTTTCTTAGAAATAAGTTTCGCGGTGTCTAGCTCATCCATATTGATATGTCTTCTCCAATTTTCTTTGTTGAATTGTGTTACGGTCACCAAAAAGTTCGGAGAAAATTTAAGAAAGATTTCTTTAGTTAGCTATCTTAACAGCAATAAGAAAAGCTTCAATCAAGTTAGAAAAAGGATATTTTACTTGTATTTAGAGAACTAACTGAACAAACCAAGTAAATAGTTCATTTAAAGTCAGTACATTTGTACAAATCCGAGAACAATCCGAACTTCTTGGTGACCGTAACACAATCCAACACAATTTATACCACGTAACGGTTAGAGCCGAAAAGGTGAATTGATGACATGTGGTCTGAACTTGGGAAAACATTTCTTAAAATATCCTCATTTTCTCTCTCTCTCTCTCTCTCTCTCTCTTTAATGGCATGGAATAACCTTAACTAAACGAGAAAGAAACCTTGGTGAAAGCTCAATGGATGGAATTGGAATTTAGCAGCAAAGTTTTCTTTTTAATAATCTTTTACTCAGTTAGATGGCTCTTGTCAATTGCCAAATTCTAAAGCCTAAATTCTTAAGCCAAGGAAATAATACTGTAATAACCAAATAACCTTTAAAAACTGTTGAGGCGGTTTTCTTTAACAGACGTTCGAGTACACTGGACCGTGTACAGCAATAATATTAGATACTGTAATTAGGGAATGTTTCAGCAAGATAACCTTGTTTTCTTGTTTTCTTGGTTTTCTCCTACGTCATCATGAATTTCAAAAGCGTAAATTCGCATTATAATGAAATAAAAGTTTCATAATCTCGTAAAGCGATCCAAACTACATATTCTGGCCAAATTTTAAGGCTGTAAAGCATTTAGTTGCGGAACTATAGGCGAGTAAACATGACGCAATTTTGGGTTAAAATGTATGGAGCGGCCATCTTGGTGTTCCAAGTTGGTACACCATCATGGCGGACGAAATTCCAAAGGCTTAAAATGATGGAATATTTAATATGTTTGACTATTTTTCACTTACGCATACTTCAAATAGATATTTTAAACGTGTCTAAGGGAAAATCTTTCAACTAAAGTAAATTATTTTACTATTTTTATCGCTATTTAGATAGACGTGACGGTATTGCGTGACACAAACTCAACCTTCATAACTCGGGAACCAAACATCGAAATGTGTCGAGATTTTTTCTTGTGACTTATAACACTGATTTCTAAAACATACTTGAGAAATGTCTTTATACGATCTATAGTTTAGATTTTGACCTTTCTCTCTTTTTTTTCTTTTTTTCTTCTTCTTCTTCTTCTTTGTTTTCCTTTTTTTTTTAAAAAAGTCATTTACATATACCACCCATTATTCGGGTGTCCAGTTTTTTTTAAATCAAAATTAATTAATTTATTTATTCAATATGCAGCTTCTATAGTTTGTCAGACACAGAACAGACGAATAGCAAGACGATAATTAAGAATGAAAATAAAGTGCTTTTCCTTTTCAAACCAGACACATTTTAAGTAGCGACCGATTCTATATAATGCCACATTAATTTATGCAGGAGGAATCTTTAAATAGACAATATACAATAGACATGGACCAAACTCAAGAGTGTCTAGAAAAACATTGTTTTTAAATTTGAAAGATCTAGTCTTCTACCCGCTGTTGCATATTTCATGATTTCAAAAATATACCCCAGCCCGACTCTAATAAAGTAAATTGATTTCTAATCTACTGACGTCGATGCCACGTGATTCAAATAATAGCTGTTCATTCTGTAGATTGGATAAATGAAACCCTTGTGATGTAGGAAGCGTCACATACCTTGAATGCAACGTGTGTTAAGACAAGTAGCGAGAACAAAAAATACTTGGCAAGTAAGTAACATTTTATAAATATTTTTTATTGAATCAAAGTCGACCTTTTTGCTAAAAATATTTTTCTCAAAGACTATGATATCTTTCACTAATTTGCTAGTGAATTTTGAAGTAAAACAGATTTGGTAATTTAAACAAAAACAAAAAAAGAAAGCGATCCTTCAATGCTTTTAGTTCCTTTTTTTGTATGGAGAGAAATTTCACTGATTGAAATCTCAACAGAATCTTATTTATTTTGCTATTTAGGACCACATGTCATCATTACCCAACAAATGTTCATACTTTTCTTTTTCAGTGCATTTATATATCTTATAAGGTTTCTGTGACTTTATTTATTCCATAGAAATGAAGCCATTCGTTAGGCTGCTTGCTGTTTGGATGGTTCTTCTAAGAATGGATGGCGCTCTTGGAACACACGTAAGGGTATTTCCTCGAAATCCAGATTCCGTTGAAGAGCTTAAACAGACCGTGGAATCGCTCAAGACGACCGTAGGCTCGTTAACCAGACAAATGATCTTACAGCAATTGTTCGTGGAGGAAAGAGTAAGATCTGATGCTGATTCTGGTGTGAAGCAAGTTCGACATGTTCGAGATGGCACCCAAAACTACCACTCGCAGTCCCACGGTAGTGCAACCCGTCTTGTCGCCATCCATGACCATTCTAACAATGATCGTACTGTAGGTTTGGGAGAGTTTGTTGCAGTCCTCAACGGGGTAGAGTTCCGCACAAGACACAATGACTATCGCTTGTACATGCCTCACAGGACCAGCAAGGAGTTACATGCAGTAGAGGACATTCCTTTCCCAGACGTTCCACCAGAGGTTACGAGCAAGAAAACTGTCAGTTTAGAGATTGAAGAAATGCGTGAATGGTTCAAGGCATGGAAAGACCAAGACTACAGTGTCAGAGACTATCGCAAGTACTTCAAACCTGTGCTGTGCTATCTCGAGGGAGCTTGGACAGCAGCATCAGAAGGCAAGATCGATGAACCGTTCGAAAGTGACAGGCATTTTGTAGACGCATCCAGCTGGTTTGACCTGCAAGAGAAAGTTCGATTCACTTCTTACGCCGGTAGAAAAGACAACTTGGAGAACTTCTCGTTTCTTCCCACCGCAGTCATGAACATCACAGATGAAGATTTGCCTGAATTTGCCCAGTGGAACTATCGCATCCTTTGCCATCCACTCAGCAGAGATGTTCCTCTAAACCGCCTACGAGTAGTTGATGAAGTTGCACCTCGAATGGCAGGGAGAAGAACCTACGACGAACATTCTGTGACACGTGCTGCTCGCTTCCAACTCAATCCTTATGACGAAGACAAGTTCACAGAACGCTTTCAGAGAGCAAAGTTTGGACTTCTTGACGARCTTATGGCAGAGGTAGGGMYACAAGTTATCGCTTAGGACAATCCTATTTACGCTGTTTTCCTTTTTTTCTCCATTTTTTCTCTCGTTGCTGGAATTGGCAAATGAACATGTACTATTAACATGTGTTAATATAGTTGTTGTAATGTATGTGCTAATGGTTGTGTTTATTCTGGACAGATTCCTGGACAAGACAACTATCCAGGTGAATTGTATGATGACGCGTTTGGTTTAACGGCCTATTCCTTGGCTCCAGGAAAAGAAGACCAAAAGCTCAGAGCAGACAGATATCATCGGTGGTTCAGAGTTGCCGAACCCGATGCAATGGGCACATCCATCAGACATCGTGCCTTTGCTGACCAAAATCTTTTCATGGCCATGAACACACAACCCAAGGTTCGAGGCATGACTCTTAACAGGTGCAAAGGTGAAGATGAAGACAAGGTTTGTAACACTTGGCATCAAAAATGGTCGTATGCCATCCCCCTAGAGATCATCTACCTTACTCCCCTAAGCAAGTGGAATCCATACGACATTGAGTTCAAGGGAAAAGACGGCAAGGGCTATGCCAATACAGTTACAGCCAATGGAAGAAATGGCGACTTGATCAAAGAGAAAGCTTTCAATGGGACAAACAGCAGGAAGTTTTACCGTACTCCAATGGAGTTCTTTGCAGGGAACGAAGTTGAAGCGGATGCTGCTGATACAACTAAGAATTCTGTTGGARTCTTGGACAAAAAGGGTTTGTGTTTACTTATATGTTTACTAACAAAAATCAATGTAAAAGAGTATGTGCCAACAATGTTTACAATGAAGCGGGCTCCATAGACATGTCCATGTTAGCGAATCGATGTTTTGTTGATTGTATAGATTTTCACTTGCCTTGAAAGCTCTTAGCTACCTTCAAACCAGGTATTTACTCTCTTTTAACCTTATTTGAGCTAGTGTGTATCTTTTGGTTCTTTACTCCAGGTGACATGAGGATCTGTAAAGCAACTGGGACAAGAATCTTCTTTCCACCAATCGGAGACCTTGGTATTCTACGTCAACGCTATCCCATCATGCCCATACACGGCGAAGGAAGCGCTGTGTGGAAGGAACTGAATGCATTGAAAGACATGGTTCTCAAGTCCAAGACAAATGGCTATATATTCAGGGAACCACTTCAAAGTGGGCCAGCACCAACAGAAACTCCAAATAAAGACACGAGATTCCAGGTTCAACTGTCTACGTCCAATGCTGTTGTGCCCCATACACATGAGTTCGTTCTAACATCAGATGACGTAAGTAACCAGCTCAGAGCTGTAGAAAGCCTTGAAAAACGGGAGGGGGTTGGGGTTATGTGATCACAAAAACCATTCATATTATTTTTGCTCCCTTGCTGGGGGAAGCTAGGGGGCACGTACCCCCCTCCCCCCTCCCCCCTCTCCCCTCCTGCGAGCGGTTTGACCCTGCAGATGAATTTCTACATAGAAAGTTTGGTGAGCATTCTAGCTCTTTTCAAAAGAATGGTTGGATCACTTGATGCCTATTAATAATAGTTATCTATTAATATAATCTGTATATCTCTTCAGATGGCATTTCTTAAAGCAGGAGGATCCTTGGAAATCATCACCACGACAATGTCGGCACATGAGCATACACTAATGGTTAAATGGGCAGCATATAACAGCCGTGTTACCATTGTTCACTGTGATGATAATGATACTGCTAGTAAGAGATGCTGGGATAGACATCCCGTCATACCTATCCCCATTCCTGATATGTAGCAGATATTATGCGACGATATACACGAAACTGCAAAAAACGTGAATGTAACGATAAATCTAACAAATTAAGTCATCGTATTTAATTTGAGCTAAGAAAATTAATGTAATAAATCATTTGCAGATGGAGGAAAATGAGGAAGTATTGTTTTAGTGTTCAAGGTTTTCTCGACTGACAGTATTTTACTTTTAGAAACTTAACATTGTGCTTTATTTATCCTCGTTAAGCAACACGAATATGACGTAAGAAGAAATGGAAGAAAACGGGCGGACGGATGATATGGATGAATGGATGAATGGATGGGATGGGATGGGATGGGATGGGATGGGATGGGATGGGATGGGATGG